CTGAGAGGGCCAGACAAATAATTACTTTCCCGAAGCAGTGCTTACATTTTGGGCATCTTACTCTTCTGCAGAGGAGCGGGACCTGGTTGTCGGTGTTTGGCGGCTATGTTGTCGCCGTGGCCACCCCGTCGCCGCCCTTCGTTTGAGCCCGATTGTCGGTTTGGCGGCTATGTTGTCGCCGTCGCCGCCACGTCACCGCCCGTCGTCTGGGCCTGATTGTCGGTTTGGCGGTTACGTTGTCGCCGTCGCCGCCCCGTCGCCGCATAAATTTCACAAAGTCGATCGCACCGAATATATCGCACCACGCGAAAGCGCAATATGGGTTCTCCTTTTTCTAAACGACTAATAGTATCCCCCTGGCGTTACCGATTAACTTTTTCGTGATGCAATGTGCATACGATTCTGCCCCATCGCCCAACGTAAATATAGTTTCGTACCATCCGAGCCCAACCTTTTACCGATCCCCCTCCATCCTCTGCAAAACTATGCGGGCACTCTCGTTTATCAAATCAGATCAATGTTCTAGAGCCCCTTTTGAACGAAAGCGGGACGAAGGGCGCACGCGTGTTTCGTCGCGCGCGCGTGCCAAAATCCTTGGCCAACTCTCGGTTCCGTGAAAAGTTCCAAATCGAGTGTCACGAAAACATATAATGATTTTGCAACACGGATTTTCATAACGCAAGAAATGTTAGCGCACGCACTTGTGCGAATTCTTGAAAAACCATGGGTACTTCAACATATTCAAAACGTGTTTCCAACTTGGCCTTCTGGCGCGCGCGTCCAAATTGTTCGAACGCCCTTGCGCGCGTGCTGTCGCAAGAACCCTTTTTTGCAAAACGTTGGACGAACAGCGCGCGCGCGTCGTCGCGCGCACATGCTGGAATCCTTGGACAACCTTCGGTGTCGGAAAGATTTCAAAATCGAATGCCTCGAAAACGTACAAACAGACACGCGCACACACTATTTTGACACATCACGTTTCAAACAAACCGTGCGTTCGCGCTCATGCGGGTTAAGAAAACCACATAGTTCCGACATTCCCAACAACATCTGCCAAACGGGCCCCGCGCGCCCGCCGCATGTCGAACTCAGTCGAACGCCCTGGCGCGCGCACTGGGTGGGGGGATCCGTGTCACATAATGCCAATCGCGCGCGTCGGCCGCGCGCGTGTGTCGAACTCTTTCAAAAGCCTTCACCGCCGACGCGAGGGCATCGTCATCGTCATCGGCGGGAGCGATCAACATCGGCACCGTCGTTGGCCTTGCCGTCGTCACCGCCACCTTGGTCACCATCGCTACTCTCATAATCGCGCCTATCATTGTCGGCGTCGCGATGATGCAGCGCCCGCCCAAGTCGCCGACTCGCGCTGGAGTGCCTGCTGGGAAGTACCCAGCAGTCAGCGCCATCGTGGCCGCGTCGGTCGCGCCAAAACAGCTGGCCGCTGCGCGCGCTTGCTTGGGTTGGCGCGGCCGCAGAGATGGACCAGCTAACGCCAAGCACTCATCGCAATCGCCACAGCGTGGGTTTTGCAAGCCAAGTTGCGGGTGGGTGGGATGCTTGCAGGAGCATGGAATGTCAACTCGTTTGTAAGAGCCCAGCCATGTAAAAATCAATCCTCTTATCTCATAGACAATCGACCCCCCCCCCCCCCGGATTGTCGACCGCCTTTTCGTGATGCAATTTACATGTGCGACTCTGCCCCATCGTCCATCCCAAATTCGAACTCATACCATCCCAGTCCAACCGGTATCGACCCCCCCCCCCGTCATCGCATGGAAAAAATACAATGCGCGCGCATTCCTTTATCAAAAACCGCTACGTCTCCCCCCCGAACCCCTTGCGAACTATGAGTCGGAGTGCACGCGCGCGCGCGTCGTTGCGCGCGCAACCCGCAATCCTGCAAAAACCTTAGTCGTCGCAGCAAAAACATGGTTTCGCAAATCGGATGTTTCAAAGAAGCCTGCGCGCGCGCTCTTGCTAAGTTCGGGGGGGCGTAAGACCCGGGTACGGAGGACCCGGGTACGACGGAGGAGGTCCGTCAAAAATTTTGGGGCGCTCCGATGCAAGTGTGCCGCGTCCAATCGATTGCCCTGGCCCCTTGCTGCAACGACTCGCACCACTCTCAACGATGCAATCAAGAAGACATTGAATGGCATGCCGCTTCGCTCGCGAAGCGTGCTACACGTGCGCCCGCGCGCGTATGTCCCTATCAAGTGCGAAAGGTTTCCTTTCTAGTTTCAGATTTGTTCGTGCCGCATTTTACGACTGCCACCGCGAATCCAGAGAACGCAAAAAGCGTTCCAAAACATCAGATGGGACAGGCCTGCCATGAGCATCTGGACCCCCCAACCGATTTTGACGAGGACGTCAAAATTTGACGCGCCCAACATCCAATTTGACGAGGCCATCATAAATTTGACGAGGCCCAACCAAAATTTGACGACGACGATTGCTCGAGACATTCTCAAAGAATTCTGGCGCGTAAAATTTGACGAGCACCACTTTTTTTTGACGAGCAGACGGCGGCCCACGTCGGCGGCATGACCGGCCCGACTCCCCGCGTCAAAACTATTTGACGGACCCCCCCCTGATTATTCATTGCCCCGCGATGGTCCCCTCCACTTGTTGTCCCACCTCCCCTCATCTCTTTCTCCCCCCGTTGCCTCCTGCTTCGTCCATCTCTTCCTGTGCACCCCCCACGCCAGCCCCACAGATGGCCTCGAGAGGCCCTCAACAGCCCCTGAACCCTGCCCCAGGCATCACTCGGTTCACTAGAGCTTCTAGCGATCCTGCCGAAAAAACGCCCTCCAGCAGCGCCGCGTCGCGGAATGTAACCGACGCGCGTTCGCAACTAATTTTTTGAATTCCCGCGCGAAACTCGCGGCCCGGCTTACCCGGGTCTCGCGCCCCCCCGATAAGTTTGTTATATATATATATATATATTAAAAAAAATAATAATAATAACGCGTGGTTCCAACATTTTCACATCATGTTACCGCGCGTGCTCCACGCGCGCGTCGATATCGTTCGAGCGCCCTCGCGCGCGCGCCGTCGCGAGAACCCCATGCCAAAAACGGGGCGACGCGCGCGCGCGCCGTCGCGCACGCACGTCGGGGGGGGGGGCCTTCGGTTTCGCAGCGGATCCAAAACCGAGCGTCTAAACACATACAAAAACACATGGCTTCGCAACGCCAGTATTCAAAAAAAGGCGCGCGCTCGCGCTCTTGCGCATCCGTGGGAAAACAAAGAGTTGTTCAACATTGTTATGGACTTCTGCCAGACGAGCCCGCGCTGGCCGCGCCGTCGTCGTCATCGACGTCGCCGCCGGCGTCGCTGCGATCATCGACGCGTCTGCCGTTGTCGACGTTGCCATGGTGCCGCGGCCGCCCAAGTCGCCGACTCGCAGAGAAGCCCCAGCTGGGATGCGCCCAGCAGTCAGCGCCACCGCGGCCGCGTCGGTCGCGCCAAACTAGCCGGCCGCCGCGCGCGCGCTCGGGTTGGCGCGGCCGCAGACATGGACCAGCCAACGCCAAGCGCCCATCGCAAAAGCCACCGCGCGGGCATTGCAAGCCAAGTTGCGGGCGGCTGGGCGGGGCGTTTGCAAGAGCATGGGCTGCGTCAGCGCGTTTGTTAAAATAAATGCGTGCTACTTAGCCGCTCCTCTCTAACGCGCGCCATGGGATCGACCCCCCCCCGGACTTCACGGCGCCCCTTTTCGCATTGCAAGTTGCATCTGTTGCTTCCCATCGCGCGCCCCAGATGTGAATTCGCGCCGCCCCAGCCAAGCTGGCATCCCCGCGCCCCCCATCCACTGCAGAAGATTTGTCCGCGCGTATTCGCTTATCAAAACCATCAGTTTGCATGGCTTCTTTCGCATGATCTTCGGCGAAATGCGCGCGCGCGAGTCGTCGCGCGAGCGCGCCGACATCCTTGAAACAAAACTCTACGCCTCGGAAGGATTGCCAAACCGAGCGCCTCGAAAACATGTAAAAACGAATGGTCCCAGAACGCGAATGTCGAGAACGAGAAAGCCTGCGCCCGCGATATTGCGAATGTTCAAGGACATCGTTGGTTTCCAACAGATACATAACATGCTAGCAAACGCACTCTTCCAGGGCGCGCGTCGCAATCGCTCGGGCGCCCTCGCTCGCGCTGTCGCGAAAATCCCCCGCAAAGAGCACGAAACGCAAGCGCGCGAGTCGTCGCGCGCGCGTGCCGGAGTCCTCGAAAGCAACCGTAGCCTTCGCGGGAATTTCAAGATCGAGTGCCCCCGGAATGAATATACAGATATATATACACACACATACATATACATACATATATTTATATATACACTCATACATACATACATACATACATACATACATACATACATACATACATACATACATATATTAGATACGCATACATATAAATATATAAATATACCGTATGCACATACATACATACATACACATATCTACATATATAGCACATGTTGCTGCAAGTGCCCAAATATAACTGCGCTCGCGCTCCTGCGAACTCCCAGGAACAACCGCGCGCTTTCCATATTTGCATTCAATTTTGCGAGACGGGCCTCTCGAGCCGAATGACAAAATAATTCGAGCGCCCTTGCGCGCGTTCCGGGGGGGAGGGCGCGATCTGCCTCAAAGAGTGCCACGCGGACCACTCTCGCGCGTCGGCCGCGCGCGCGCGTGTCGAACCCCCTCCCAAACCTTCATCAATGACACGACGACGCAATCATTGTAGTTGGCACGGTCAGCATCGGCGCCGTCGCTGGCCTTGCCGTCGTCGTTGTCATCATACTCGCACGCATCGCTGCCATCGTCGTGTCTACCATTTTCGACGTTGCCACGATGGCGAGTCTGCCCAAGTCGCCGAGTCGCACTGAAAAGCCCGTTGGGAAGCGCCCAGCGGCCCGCGTCACCGCGGCCGCGTCGGTCGCGCCAAACTAGCTGGCCGCTGCGCGCGCGAGCACGCGCGGGCTAGCGCGGCCGCAG